GCAGGGGAGGAGAAGGAGGAGAAGGCCTTCTTCTCGAGCAGCCTCTCCTTTCCGTAGGGCTCCGTCTGGCTCTCGGCGTAGATCAGAAAGTTCAACTGGGCAGGGGAGGGAGACGAAGGCTGGAGGAGGGGAGGTTGGACACCCCCTCTCCTGGAAGAAGAGGGGGATCGACGAGGCAGTGCAGGAGGGTGATTGTAACTCCGTTGGCCGTCTCCACATGGCGCTCGAGCGCTCGGGCCAGCTCTGGGGGCGTTGGCGAATATGGGCCCCTTCTTCGGCGGCATTCTCTAGTGGCTAGCTTATATATATATATACACATATACACATATACCTATATATACCTATATATATATACACATACATATATACATACATATATAAATATACATACATATATATATATGTATATATCGATCGTGTGTTAGATTCCTGCGGGCCATACAATATATTCATCACCATCCGATGCGCATCATTAACATTTTTTCACGCACATATGAATGAACAGAGTTTTTTTCGTTGAAAAGGGTTTTTTGTTGAAAAGGGAAAAACTAAAGTTGCTTAGAAAAAGCGATAACGAGCCTCAGGGTCACCCGCCATGGTATCCATGCGGCGCAGGATGACCTCCAGCCACGAGGCGCGGTTGAGCGTGCTTTCGGGGATGTCCTCGAACTTGGCCTGGAGGTTCCAGTCAAAGAGCTTGAACAATTTCTCAACCCTGCGCCAGATCGCCAAGTCGGCGTTCTGATTCCATCTGCGGATGGCACGACTCCACTGCCTGTGATGCCCGAAGCCGGGCCATGGCGGCGGATCTGAATAGTCGCCCTTGCCGCCGCCGGCGCCCCAGCCCCACCAGTCGCCGGCGCCTGGGCCAAAATGGCCTCTGCTGCTGCCCGCCCAGTGCTCCCAGGCCTGGGTCGCGCCGTCGCCCTGATCGCCGCCCTGCTGCCGGTCAGCGCCTCCCCAGCGCCAGCCAGCTGCTTCGGACCAGTTCCACTGGTCCTCCTGGCGATCTCCCTTGGCGTTGCTGTCGGCCCAGCCGTGCAAGCAAGGATCTTCTGCTGCTGCCGTGGCCGCGGCCACCGGTGTCTGAGACGATGATGCTGCTTCCATAGTCTCTCGGGCTACTCCCACGATCATCTCTTTCAGCTGCGCCGGTGTGACCGCTGCCAGCGTGTCCCCGGCCGGTGGGCTCGCTGGAGCCTCGGCTGGGGACTCTGTCTCCTTGCCGTCTCGCGTCGTCATCCGTGGATCTCCACGCCAGTCGGACCTGGATGCGAGGTCCTCGCCCCGGGCGCTCGAGAGCTTCCTGGGCAGTCGCCGCTTCAGCGCCGCGCGGGAGCTCCCATGGGCCCGAAGCGGGGTCACCGCGCTCCGCTACCAACTGTGGCATCAGATCGCCCTTGGGATGTTTTCAAAATCTGGATGGCATCCACAGGCAACCGCTCTGCATGTTTGACGTCGTTTCGAGGAAGACACAGTATGGAGTAAATCAATGACGTGGTCGATCCCCTACTCGACTTATGTATGTCAGAACTACAAATGTATGGATAATGCTGACGGTTGGGAGCGAGTTTAGACTCTCCGCTGCTGGCCAGGCGGCTGCGTCTGTCAGGGCTCTGATGTACACGTCTTCTACTGGAGCCTGAATCCACTTGAACGCGGACTGGTGCGGCCACACATGTCTCCCAAACCCGGATCAACCCGAGGGGGTCCGGAGGGGACTGGCTGACCCCCGTCACCTGCGCCTCGACCTCCGACCCCACAGCATCCTGGCACAACTCGCTCAGCGCAGAGGAGGAGGATGTCCCCAGGCCGTCCGCTAAGACGGCACGACAAACAGCCGACTGAACCGACAGCGAAACCGAAACCGACCGAGACCGACTTGCCACAAGCAGCCCAGAAGGGCGCAGCAACGCAGCAACGAGATGGCAACAGGCCGAATCGAACAGACCGAACGCAAACGACTGCGACGCAGCCGAACCGACGGAACCCTAGACACACATGGGACTCCAGAACCCCCTGATCTCCTCCTCCTCCTCCTCCTCCTCAGCTTTCTCGGAGATCAGAAGCCGCGAAATGTAGAACCTCCAGCCAGATCGATCCGCCAAATGAAGCCGCTCTCTGCAGGACTTCTCCAGCCAGATCGACCCGCAATGGCACCGGGCAATAACGCCCAGTGCGAAAACACCGCGACGCCAGTTCTCAACACCTCAACCCTGGGCCGCGGAGCGCCCCAGGGCCGCCGCCGGAGGGGGCGCCAGGGTGTTGAGACCGCCACGGGCTGCTCGGGAGACCTGTTGAGGCCAGCGGGGAATACCTGGGGGGCCTGTCCGTGCGCAGCCCGAGGCCTCCTCCTCCTCCTCCTCCTCCTCCTCCTCCTGCACACGTGCGCCCCGATCCTGTCCAGCAGGGCCTTCCGGCCGCCCCCGCCGCGGGGCTCCGGGAGCGCGTCGCCCGCGGGCGCCGGCCCGGGGGGCGCTGCCTCCGCCGTGGTGGCGGAGGCGGCCTCGGCCACCGCGGCGGCGCCGTCCTCGGCCCCGGCCTCGGCCGCGGCATCGGAGGCCTTCTCGGCCGCCGGCTGTGGCGGCGCCTCGTTGGTTTCTCGGCCACGCGCAAGTCCCCTGATATCCTGGCGTGGCATTTCTGTGCACCCAACTTCTGGCTCGAAAAATCCAGCACGAAAATTGGGTCTAGGGCTCCAGTCCTGATGTTGACGTTTTTCATGTTTTTCGTGACGTCGGATCCCAGGGTACGGGAACACACAGGAGTGGCCCCAGGCGAGAGGGGCCTTTGGTGCGATGCTTGCCGATCGCGGCAGGCGTTGCGGTCATGGCGGACGGCTTGCGTAGACTTGGCCTCCCGAAAGCTGCGCACCAAAGGTCAGTACAGCCAGGGTCACTCTTACTTGCGTGTAGCCGACTCGTCGCCCCCGTTTCTGGGCCCGGGGCATGGTTTCGGGCGCCATGGGCCGTGAAGGATGGGCCGGGGCTCAAGCCAGGCCCTCTGGCCCTGGGATGGCGAATGTGCAACGTTGCTCCTCGTGTGCTCCTCGGCCCTCCTGGCCGGGGTATGGAGAGCTGGCCCCTGGAAAGGGGGGTCGAGGGCCCTAAAGTGGCCGCGACACGAAGAGAAGACAACGTCGTCGGAGGTCTGGCTCGTGAGATCTGTCGCTGGCCACAGGTTCTCTGGGCGCTGGACGGCAGTACAGCAGAGACGGGGACACCTCCCCAGCCAGGACTGGTGCAGACGCCTCACTGGCCAGGCCAGAAAGGTGCTCACTACCACACAACTACTACTTCTACCACCACCACCACTGCCCCGCCGATCTTGGGCCCAAGATAGGCCCGGCCAAGATGGGTGACATCCCCCCGTGGGCCCCCAAGGGGAAGGACTTGGCACGCCCGGCATGGGGACGTGAAAAATAGAAACGATGCCTGGTAGCAGATACTGACCCAAACCAGCAGCGACCCTCATGAACGTTATATGGCACAAAGCTGCAGTGCTCCCGGGCCCCCGGTCGCTAAGAGACACGCCGCGGCGGCACCGCCGAAGATGCCCCAGAGCACGGCGCCATCGAAACCATGACAACTTTGCTTTAGCCACTTGCGGCACGCAAGCGCGCAAACATAGAACCCAGGAGCTAAACACCGAAGATCATCAGGTGGCCACGGCGGCAAGCGGGAATACGATCTGGGCAGACGGAGACACTTAAAGTGCATCGGGCCTCTTACCTGAACCTTTGCAGTCTGTCGGAGACGACGACAAGGGCGAATAGCTCATGGGAAAGCGACACATGCAAGCATCCGAGGGCGTCGATGGTCCACATGCCCTCGGCCCTTCGGCGAGGCCCCCAGGCGAATACGTGTCGTGCCCGCGCCTGAACAACTCGCCCCTGTCGTCGCCTCCGAATCTGGGCTTCGGCTCTCCCCGAGGTCCCGGCCTCGGCTTCGGCGGCCTCCTCGGCAGCCGGCTGCGACGGCGCCCCGTCGCCCTCCGCCTCGGAGGCCATGCTCACGCCAGGCCGACGCGCCGCGCCCGCGCCTTGCGCGCGCTGCCAGAGTATCGGCGCCGCTCTGAAGCCGATCGGGCCTCGGACGTCTACGGAAGGTGAGGACGAGGCGGAGCAGGAGGGGGGGGGGGCGACAGGCTCAAGCACAGGCCTTTCCAGGTGGCACCAGAAGGTAAGAGTGTCGCATTCTTCTATCTCGGACACCTGGCTTTCAGAACCCTCCATGTCCAGCGGTTGGCATCTTGGATCAGGGTGGCGCTCAACGCGCCCCTGGCCCAGCAGTTTTGCACAGCAGCCAGGCTGCTGCTCCCCAGTAGTTCTGGAGGGACCAGAATCTGCAGGCAAAAACTATTCGCGTTTGATCTCGCTGAATATCTCTCGGAAGGGGGAACGCCAAGGAGAGACAGGCTCAAGGGGGGAGACGTCGAGCTGGAATAGGTGATACACCTGCGATGGACACTCCCAGGACGCTCCGGTCAAGAATGCAGGAACTCTCGGGGCGGCCCCGAGACGGGGCAAGAGGGCCCAAAGAGGCCCCCAAGACGGAGCGCCCGAAGATCGCTCCAAGACGCAGAAGATAGTCTCTAGACGGCCCGAGGAACCTCCAAGAAAAGAAGCCCACAGAGGCCTCCAAGACCACTCCCAAGAGGCCCTCAAGAGACCCAAATCTGATATGAATCAGAAGATTCGCATGATTTGGGCATTCTCGCCTCGTCGGCCTCCCGACACTCCTGAAAGCCCCCAGAAGCCTCGAAAATCGCCCTAAGGCGGTCCAAGAGGCCTTCAAGAGAGCCCCAAGAGGTCCCGAGAGGGGCCCAAGACGGTTCAAGAGGCCCCCAGAAATCGCCCAAGATGGCTCCAAAAGGAAGCCCAACAGGAAACCCAAAAAGGCCCCCAAGGTGGCTCCAAAAGGAAGCCCTGACGGGGGAACCGAACGGACATTGAGCCATCCGCCCCAAGAAGCCCCCAGGAGGCCGCAAGGGCTCATTTTTGCTGCTCACTCCGAGGCGTGGGTGGGTTTCATCACGCGCCCTCCAAGCCGCGCCGCAGCCCCAACGCGCTGGCGCACCCCCTCGGGGATGCCAGAACCATGCGACAACGCACAGATTATTAACTATCTCGATAACAATACAGACTGCAACGTGAAAGTCGTGCCGCACGGAAGGTTCGAGCATCGCCGAACACCGTCAGCCCCGTCTGCGCAGGGGCCCTTAATCCCAGACATGGCAATCCGACTGCTCACAATCAGATCGCACCAGCGTGGCCAGCCTCTCCGAGCGCCCTGCGTCGGCCGCGGCCTCGTAATTACGCAACAACCTCGCAGTCGCACCACTCCAGCCCCGCCTGGATGCGCACTTCCGCGCACGGGTGGCGGTTGCTCTCGGGCAGCAAGGCCATCAGCATCCTCCGCCCCGCCACGCAAATTTCGATGTTCGGGCGCGAGGCGCCCAGGGCCTCGACCTGCTGCTGCAGCCTCCCCTCGGGGCGCGCCTCGTTCTCAGGCCCTCTGCGCCTCGCCCGCGTCGTCTTCCAATCGGCGCTCGCTCACGCCCTCGGGCTCGTCGAACCCCAACTCGGGCGCAGGCGGCGTGCTCTCGTCGCCCAGCCTGTCGTGCTCGAGCCGCCACTGGGCCAAACGGCACGCCTGCGCCTCAGCCGCCCCCGTGTGCGCCCCATGGTTGGCCGCGCAAACAGCTTCCCACTTGTCGTCCTCGTCCGCCTCCGCAACATTCGGCACGTCGGCGGCCTCCACCGCCAGGAACACGACGTCGTCGATGGAGTCGGCCCACCTTGACCGCACGACCCGCAGCTACACGCTGTCTTCCTCGCCGTCAACATCGAAAACCTCGGCATTCCACTTCGTCACAGCTTCGGCGCCCTGGGCCTCGTGCGTGCGCGCCGCCGTGTCGTCGGCCTCGGCATGGTAGGCATCCACGCGGAGGCTCGCCTCGATGGCCTCGGCCCTGCCATCGGCCTCGGCTTCCAGCATCACGACCTCGGTTACATCGACGACCTCCTGGTGCTCCTGGACCACGCCAGCTGCCAACCACAGCGTCGGGAAAGGCTCCACCGATGGGAAGGCATCAGACTGGGCGCCACCGTCGCTGCCCTCAGCGCAGCTCCCGTCGCCGACCTCCGCGGCCTGGCGCTCGGAGCTGTCCTCCTCCATGTACTGCTTCTCGGCCATGCCCGTCACGGCCTGGGCCTGCACCCCCACGTACACCGACATGCCGACCGCGGCAGCCACGGACTCCTGCGCCTCGCCTTCCTCGCCCTCTAGGACGAGAAGAATCTATTGGCACAACGTGCTATTGATACGTTCCGGAGGTTCCGGGATTTCTAACAGTCTTCGCGCGGGGTACACTGTGCGTCGAGTATTGTCTACTCTGGCTGGCGCCGCTGGTCGGTCACCCATTCGCAATCGAACGGTCGCCCGTAAGGGGCTATTTGGCAGTTGCTGACCCCCATGCTCGTTGCCGAGCGCGGGGGGGACGGTGGCGCGCCGTCCCATCGCCCGCCGCCGCGCACCGCGCGCCTCGGCGGATTTCACAGACCCGGCAAGGCAAATCACGCGCGACTGTGGAAAATTCTCCGGGGTGAAAGATGATCAAATCCGGAAGCGTTTTTGAACGTGTCCAGTCTGCTTTTTGAAAAATACCAGCTTCGTTTTTTATAACAAAAAATCCGGGATCGGTTTTGAAAAATTCCGGAATCCATTTTGAAAAATTCCGGATTTCAGAATTCTTCAGATGTCCTGAACGGCGGGCGCATTCCACCCCTCAAAACTGTTTTTGATGAAAATGTCGGGGCTCCTTTTTGAAACTTTCGGGAACCGCTTGCGCAAAAATAGTTGAAGCGTTTTGTGACACACTCTACAATCCAGAAATAACGTCCGGGCGGTCCGACGCGCGCCGCCGGCTGATTCACGCGCCGCGCCGCGCGCGATTGGGCGCAGCGCGCGCCGCGCGTTGCGCCCACGAACAACACTCGAAGGGGCTACCTCGAAAACAGCGCCACGGCAGCTGCGACTCGCGAACTCCCCGGGAGCAACACAGCATGCTGGTTGAAATCTTCGAGGGCGCTCCGATGCGCGAAAAATGCACCACGAACATCACGCAAAGAACCTGCGCGACGGAATGCGCTCGACCATTCGTCCCTGGAGCCCGCGCGGGAGAACAGGAAAACCTGAAAATCTGGAAAACTATCAATATCAATACTTCATGCTCCTCTGACCCTCGGCCTCGACGCCGTCGTCCGCGCCGAAGTGGTAGCACTCCACCTCGGCGAACCTGCGGATCGCCGCCTGCGTCGCGAGCCAGACCGCGTCCGCTCCAGTCAGACCGCATGCGGGCCACCAACAAGATGGCCCATGAGCTCCCCGTCGCACTCGGTCAGCTCCAACTCCGAGGTCGTGAGCTGGGCCCTGCACCATCCTGCATCCAAGCCCGCGCCTGCGCGAGGACCGCCTCCCCCTCCCAAGAGTGGCGCAAGAGAGCCCCCGCCGCGTCGAGCGCACTGCAACCGCGCTCGATGGCCCATGGCAGCCGCCTGCCCTGCCGCCGAGGTCGGGCCAGGCCCGCCGCCAAGGTGGCGCCTTCGAAGATGGCCACCGCCGCTCCCAACAGCTGCTGCGCGCGGCCGCCCAAGTCGGGCCTAGCCGCCGCCTGCGTCGCCGTCGCCGCCACCGCCGCGCCGGAAGCAGCCGCCTCCACGCAGTGCGCCGCCTGCAGCCTCATCATATGGTCAGCGGCCTCGGCCACCGACGACACTGATACGAGGGCCGCCCCATGCCGCAGTGTCACGCTGCCACGCCCGCCGCGGCCCATCCCCAGGCCGAGGGAGCGCCGCTCGCCGCCGAGGGCCCCGAGCCGAATCGGCGCCCGCCGTGCGCCCCCCGTGCGGATCCAGCACCCCGCCAGACCCTTGAGCCAAGATGGCTACGGAGGAGGCCGCAGGGGCCCCCTAGCGCCCCCCAAGAGGCACATAAGAGACCACCATGAAGCCCCAAGAGGCCCCCAAGGGGTTCCCAAGAGGCTCCCACAAGACGCTCCAAAGAGGTGCCACAACTGCCCTCCAGAAGTCTCCGAGAGCACTCCGAAAAAAAGCAAAAGCATCCCCGACTCTGACTCTGACCCACATCCCAGGCATGGCAGTGAGACAGTAGAGGCCAGAACCCACGACTAGCTCCAAAGCAGTTACTTCACCTTCACGCCTGCTGTCGCAACGCCTGAGGAAAAAAGGCCAGCGCCAAGCAGCGCCGCATGGACCACGAACGCGCAAGCAAACGCCAGCGATAGCACAATACGGGTCGGCGGACTGAACGAAGCGATGTAAACACTGAAGTCGATCTCCTGCTCGAACGAGACATCTTGGCCGTTGGCTGGGGGGCTATCGTCTGCGCCGACGCAGACGCGAGAACGTGGGGGCCTCAATTGGCCAATTGGCCTCCAGATCCACCATTATCAAATGAAACTATTATCTCCTGCTGTGGCCTTCCCGCGCGCTCAACCCCCAGCCAGGTACCGAGTCCTGAAAGTCGATAGGGCGAGTGCCATCGTTTTAGCGTCACCTTGCCCACCTTGTCGCGTCTCTCCTTCTCTATGATTCGTCCTCCCTGCTCCTCTGGCACTCTTGCACTATTCTTCCTAACATGCTACGTAGGATATCCTTCCACAAGAGCCAGCAGAAGGCTGCATCAATACAACCAGTACCAGCAGCAGCGACAGCGGCAGCAGCAGTAGCAGCAGCAGGCAGGCAGAAGAAGCAGCGGTTGCAGCAGGATGGCAGCAGTAGCAACAAGCGGCAATAAAGGCTTCGGCACGCGTGGCAACAGTCGGAACAGCAGCCGGAACAATTGCAGCAAGTTCACCAGTCCAGTCGGCGGCGACGAGGCGACGAGGCGACGACGACGGCGGCGGCGGGCCAAACGAGGCGAAGCGAGGTGACGCGAGGCGCGCGCAAACACACAGCCCCTCCTGCTCCGGTTCCGGACACTCGGAGCTGTGGAAGGGCGTGTCGCTCATGGTGAGGGCGCCCAGGAAGGCGCACGCGAAGGGCACGAGGCTGTAGAGAAGGAAGGCCTGCGGCGGTTTTGCCCACGACGCTCGAGGGCCGAGGACCGAACAATTGACACGTTTGGGTGCTTTGTTTGCCCCCTCCGGAGGCCTCTGGAGACCCCCTCCTCGTCCCTCTCCCCCGAACTCCTCCTCCTCCTCCTCCTCCTCCTCCTCCTCCTCCTCCTCCTCGTCGTACCTCCTCCTCCTCCTCCTCCTCGTCGTACCTCCTCCTCCTCCTCCTCCTCATCCTCCTCCTCCTACCTCCTCCGCTCATTCTTTTGGACACTGTCCTGGGACTCTTACTCTTACTCTTACTCTTACCTCCTCCGCTCATTCTTCCTCCCCTCCTCCTCCTTCCTCCTTCCTCCTCCTCCTCCTCCTCCTCCTCCTTCTCAACCTATTCCTCCTCCTCCTCCTCCTCCTCCTCCTCCTCCTCCTACCTCCTCTCACCTCCTCCGCTTCTTATTCCTTCTCCTCCTCCTCCTCCTCCTCCTACTCCTACTCCGACTCCTACTCCTACTCCTATTCCTCATCCTTCTCCTTCACATCCTCCTTTTCCTCCTCCTCCTCATCATGTTCCTCCTCCCCCGCCCTTTTCCTCCGCCTCCGCCGCCGCCCTCCCCCTCCGCCTCCTCCTCCTCCTCCTACTCCACCTCCTCCTCCTCCTCTTTTTCTGATTAATGCGTTTCTTATCATTACTAGTAGTCTGCTTCGGATTCTCATTCGTATTATTAGTACTATTGCTAAGATTGCTAACATCCTCGTCGCCTTACCGTCGTCCTCGTCGTCGTTGTCGCCGCCGTCGCCGTCATTGTCGCCGTCTTCGTATGACCTCGTCGTGGTCGCCACGACCAGGACGAGGTCATGCGAAGACGGCGACGGACGACGGACGCCGCGCGACCGACGACCGACGACGACGACGACCCAGGGTCAGAGAAAACGAGACCACGACCCAGGGGCTGAGAAAACGAGGAAACGAAGCAGGGTCCGAGAAAACAAGACCACGATCCAGGGGCCGAGAAAACGAGAAAACGAAACAGGGTCAACAAAAAAACGAACCAGGGTCCGAGAAAACGAGACCACGACCCAGGGACAGAGAACACGAGAATACAAACCAGCGTCCGAGAAAACGAGACCACGACCCAAGGGCCGACACAACGAGACACCGAGAAAACACACCAGGGCCCGAGAAAACTGGACCACGACCCGGGGACAGAGAAAACGAGACAACGAGAAAACGAACCAGGGCCCGAGAAAGCGAGAACACGACCCAAAAGCAGAGTCAACGAGAAAACGAGACAATGAACCAGGGTCCGAGAAAACGAGATAACGACCCAGGAACCGAGAACACGAGAAAACGACAAAACAAACTAAGGTCCGAGCAAACGAGACCACGACCCAGGCAGAGAAAACGCGACTATCGGTGCTAGTAAAGAAGACCACGACCCAGGGGCAGAGACAACGAGAGAATCGGGGCCCGACAAAACGAGATTACGAACCAGGGGCCGAGAAAACGAGGAAACGAGAAAACAAACCAGCGTCCGAGAAAACGAAGGCACAGCCGAGGGGCCGAGAAAACAAGACAACGAGAACACTAACCAAGGTCTGAGAAAACTGGACCACGACCCAGGCGCCGAGAAAACAAGAAACCAAACCACGAACCAGGGTCAGAGAAAACGCGACGACCCAGGGGCCGAGAAAACGAGAAAACGAACCAGGGGGCGGGAAAACGAGACCACGACCCAGGGGCAGAGGAAACGAAAAAACGAGAAAACGAACCAAGGGCCGAGAAAACGAGACCACGACCCAGGGGCAGGGCAAACGAGAAAACGAACCAAGGCCCGAGAAAACGACACCACGACCCAGAAACCGAGAAAACGAGAGACGAGAACACGAAACGGGGTCCGCGAAAACGAGACCACGACCAAGGGGCAGAGAAAACGCGAAAACGGTAAAACGACCCAGGGGCCGAGAAAACAAGAAAACGAGAAAACGAACCAGGGCCTGAGAAAACAAGACAACGACCCAGGGGGCGATACAACAAGAAAACACGACAAATAATCAGGGTCAGAAAAAAACGAGACCACGACCCTGGGGCCGAGAAATCGGAAAAAACAAGACAGCGAACCTGGGGCCGAGAAAACGAAACAAAAACCCAGGGGCCGAGAGAACGGGAAAACGAACCGTGGTCCCAAAAACCGGACCCACGACCCAGGGGCCGAGACAACGAGAAAAAGAGAAAACCAACCAGCGCCCGAGAAAACGACACCACGACCCAGGGGCCGAGAAAACGAGACCACGACCCAAGGTCAGAGAAAACGAACACACAATCC